GTGATAAAATGTTAAGACCCGGCCCTGATTATACATTTAAAATTTGAATAAAAACCAGACAATTACTTACCAATAGATGCCGAGGAACTCAATTATGTATTAGGTATACATAAGTGTTTATGCATATTTAAACCATGTACATAAAAAATGATACAATAGAAAACGATTATATCAATATATTTTTAAGTGGTTTTTTTTCGTTAAAACATGCAATAGGGGCTGTACACGCGATACGCATATGTATTCTTAATTAAAAACCAGCAACGATTTTAACGATTCAATTTTAAAAACCGTATCGGTAAAGCCCATTGATGCTTTAGTCCGTGCGCCTGATAAGTATGTGCACAAGGTGTATCTGCAGGATTTGACCATCCAGTAGGACATTTTCGAATCCTGCAGATACATTCTGTATACTGAATCGTTTAAATTACACCATTATACATAGGTGTTGTTATCATAGAAAATTTGATTTTATTTCAATTGCCATATCCCACGTAACAACTCGCCGACTGTGAACGCGATTCAGCTATATAATATTGCAACTTTTTTACTTTTTTTTGTTAGCAGATATCCACCAAACCCACCGCATAATATTTTCCGTTCCGGAGTTTCGTAACAATTTGCATTAAAATAATATATAGCCAGTATAATAATAATATTAATGTATTTAGATTCAGATTTTTATTCGAACATCAGACAATGGCGCACGTACAACAATGTTGATAACTATATTTTATAAGAATATTATAAACAGTCGAGAAAGTCGTACATAGTATATACGAGGTACACACACACACACACACACACACACACACACACACAGCGTACAAACAAAAGCTCACTGCAAACGTTAAACTATATATAATGGTATAACTATGACATATACTATAACATAATTCCATATCTGAAAAGAAACTGTGTAATGAATGTAAAACTTAAAAAAAAAAATACCGCAGGTGTGCGAGTAGTCAAGAAGATTTTATAAAGTCATTCTAGTTTTAAACTGCCTAGGAAAAAAGTGTGAAATGCCAAACTGATGAATTAAAAAAAAAAAAAAACATAAAATTGTGATTGCACATAAAGTAATGTAACGATACGTACATTATCCCACTGGTGGTGCGAGGCTGATATTAGGTGTACAGTCATAGGTGAGGGGGAATGAACGGAATATTGCTGACTATGGGTTTTAGACGCACGCCAGGAGGCCGGCGATAGGAACGCGACAGTGAGTGTCGCGAGTCGAGCAGTAGTGCGTACCGTTGAGAACACCATCCCAGAGAGGAGCGGCCATCATTTGGATATCACAGGTCACCATCATGGACTTCACTTACCCTCGACTAGACACCCCCTTGAGGTGTACAATTTATATCGGTAATATAAGATCATTCAAATTATTTATATATCGTATTGTTTTGTGTTAACACCACTAGAGTTACCTTGGTCCGTTACATAGAATATATCACACTCCGAGATCGAGTCCCCGAGACCTCGTTAATATAAACATAAAGCGTCTAGTACAGAGCACCGGGAGAACGTTACAGTAACAACAGGACATCGCAACAACGGCTTTGGGAATATAATTTACAAAGTCTGAGTCTAATGCGTCCGCCCCACAAAGTGTACATTATTCCGGAGAAAACAAATTTGAACGAAATCGTTCGATTTACGAGCCGTGAGAGTTTTTCCTGTTATACGTGTGTTTTGAACAAATAAAAACCTCCAGGTCCCGTAATCCGAAACAATACGATTGACGTATATATGAAAAAAATATGGTCTGGAAAAAAAAAAAGGAGAATGGCGGTAGCTAACGGTACACGCGGAGAACAAAATATTAATCCGTATAAAATGTGTTATGTTGTTATTCGGAATCGAAAAGTCGTTAAAAGTGAAATTATAAAACATACGGACAAAATCTATGTTTAGGTGTACGAAACGCTTGCAAATTCGGCAAGTTTTATGCGCTAACCTAACCCCGTCTCGTGATAATAATACGTTGGATTTTAGGATTTTTTTTTTTTTTTTTAATTTTTTTTTTCATACGACATTGGCCCATCTTAAACCAAGCCGCGTGTATAATATATAATATTATTCGTCATGACGATACGATGATGATGATGTTAAACGCAAGATAACACAAAATGTTAATTTAAAGTTCTCAAAGTCAACAAACATGAAATTGATTTCTATCTCGTTACTCGTGTATAGCGAGGCAGATATACCGTATTATACATAATACTAAATATTATAATAATATTATATAATATATTCGAGCGTATTGAATATACCTACTCGAAACATTAAACATCATCCATTTAACGGTCGTATTTACATAATCCCTTTCGACTTAAATACCTATTACATCGCAATAAATACCTATACATCCTACAAACCGACGTTTATTATGAGCGGACGCATAATGTATGTATAAATATAGGTTTTGGACAAAGTAAAATACACGAGTATAATACGTCGGACATAATATGTACGCGTACGTTATAATAATTTAATATGTTACCGCGAATGCCCGACGTTATTGCAGCGATGATGTATTAATAATAATACGTATATGTCAACAATCGCACTAAAACGAATATTATGCCTACCGGTTAATATTTCGACGTTGCGGCCGCAATAAGAATCCGTCACGTGGTAAACGTCGGAATCAGTGGCGTGCGTATTTAGAATTTTACCGACGGGGGAAATATACAGAATTTTGAAACCGCGTCGTATTATTTAACGCGATGTGCCCACCGTGCCCGGTAAAGATTCGCGAGAAACGGTTCAGAACGGGCTCTTTGAATTTAAAAATACTGGCTGGGGCGAACTTTTTTTTTTTTTTTTACGAAAATATGCGCACCGGGTCAGCGGCGGTTATAGGATTCTTTTTTCGGGGGGATACTCGACGTTTTCATATTAATTTTGAACAATAAACACTAAATATAAAATGCAGATAAGATTACAATCAAGTATCAATATTTTATCGATTATCCTAATAATTGGTCCAACCGCAATGTGAACGACGATTTACAATCATTATTAACATCAAATTATCACAACTACAAAAATATAATATAACTGTCAAGGGCGGGGGGCGGGCTCTCTCGGTATCCCCTTGAATCCGCCACTGCACTGATCGTTTTAAACAAGAAAATGTATACGATAGGGTATTTTTGATATATTAACACCGACACATTAAACTGTTGATTTTTCTTACTGAAAAGTAGTAAATTTAAAAATATGTAGTAATATACAAATACAGAGTGTTCAGAACTATTTGACATTTTTACATGCGATTACAGTGTAAAAATGTTAAATAGTCCTGTTACACCCTATATATAATGAATACAAATAAAAGGTCAAGCAAAGGGGCAAAAATACGAATAAAATAGATTCAACCTCAATTAGATTCAAAATACTACGAAAAAAACTTTCTTGTCTTTTGTTTGGATCAAAATTTTTGAAAGAAAATTTGAATACATGCAGAAAGGATAAAAAAAAAGCAAACATCATAATAGAACCCCAATACATTTCATCGCTGCACTCAGAATCTAAAACCCCGTCGAACAATAGCGCAAATATAATACATATTGAAAAAAATCAACATCAAACTAGAGCAGGGGTCGGGAATTTGCGGCTCTTTAACATGCAATCTGTTTTCTTTGGAAAATGCATCATCTAGAAATTCTAGATCTAGAGCTAGACCCGTAAAATATAAAATTAAAATTCAATTATATGCCTACCTATTCAAAAATGGAATTGCTTAGTAAACTATATTAGTGAAGTTTTGTATGTTTTTTTTTTTTATTTTAACCATTGAAAATCATGGTTTTTCAATTATTTTTTTAAACGGCCAATTTACACGAAAAGGTTCACGATCCCTGAACAAAAAGATCTATTATTCTGGGCGTCACCTGATTGCGGCCCAAAGTGACCTTTTTTTCCTTTTTCATACCCCGATTGCGGCCTATGCTAAGTAGGTAGAAAAGACCGTCTTAAGTGACTTACGAACCAAATAAGTATCCCGATTGCGTCCAAAGTATTTTCATATATACATATATAAAATCCAAATACCACTGACTCACTGATACACTGATCGGATGTATCTCAAAAACTACTCAACGTACGCACTTGAAATATGGAATAGTGGTTCCTCTAATTCTTCTGCCGTAATCTGCGGCGTACTGAACATGACCACGCGCTGTTTACGTTCAAAACGACCGGTTTTTCTTATCGTTTTCGGCGTGATTTACACCGATCGCGTATTAACGGGATCAACCCCTGCAGATGGATACCAGAGGGATACCGTATCAGACAAGTTTTACGTCACCGATTTTATATTGTTATTATTTTAATCAGAAATTCGTACGCACAATCAACCGTACAATTTCGATTGTAAACCGAATCGTTTAAATTCGGCTTAAATAATAGCTGTGCAGGAATATAGCTACTTGACGTGGTTGTATTGCGGCCATTATAATGCGAAATAACTATTATAGATTTATACAATATTCATAATTTATTTCATTATTACAGCCATTATCCGACCGCGTACAACAAACAACCTGTTAATTGAAACCATATCTAATAGTATGAAAATAACATAACGTGTAATTCAATGATACGGAATATAATAAATTAATTTTGAAACTATGTACCTACCTGCTGTTATCGACTACTTACGTAATACGAAACTAAATAATCCAATTAGAAAATTATTATTCGCGTGATATTGTTTCTTGCAGTTGCAATGAAAAAAAAAAAAAAAAAAAAAAATGCATAAAACAAAAACCAAGTAAAGTCATTAATTTAATAACGATTTAATAACCGTCATTATTGTTACGAGACTGCGCGTTTTCGAATATTTTCGTTGTACAATCTATAATAAGAGCACACAGCAAAGGTCATATTGGCCACTCGGTATAGAGTAAAATTTTACTCGTTGCAGCAGTGTACCGGTAGAAAATAAATGGCATAAATGATTGAGTTAGTCGATTTTCTAACAATATCGAGTGTTGTGTATTTTTATGTTGAAAATACTCCCACTGAAGAATGGAAGACTAAAAACTAAAATGACGGACATACTTCGCACGGTGGATGGGCTAATGTTGTAAGTAAGAAGTTGAGTAGATAGGACATAGAGGGGAATTTAATGTATTTTTGTATACAACGATCAATCATTGCTAACGAAAAACGATTCTGAGCGGATGAGTTCGGTTAGACGTATTTTAAAAGGCCGTAATATTTACGATTTCCGTAAAACTCTGATATTCAAATTATTATGAAAAAAAATACTACATTAAACTCAATTATTTCTTGTTGACCTTTAAGTACAACTTATAATGAACAACCTTAAAGTTAAATTTCAAGTATTTCTGTTTGGTCTTAACAACTGTTCACAGAGTACCTACCAAATGTATTATTAAAATTACGGAATTTTACGTAAATACGATATTTACGTAAAAATTTCGCAAAATTAAAATGTTTCTAAATAACGTAAAAATGGCTCAAATATTTTGAACTTTGACCACGTCTAGAAAAAACAAACATTACTTTTCTATTACAATATCAAGTCTCCACGAAAAGTTTCTAACTGAACTAAATTATAACAAAAAAACAAAATTTAAAATAATAAAAACATTATTTTAGTAAATTTCCCGTTTTTTCTACGTTTTTCCCAATTATTTTGAAAATTCTTGAAAAATCAAACAATTATCGCCCTAGGAAAATTTCCTTTGAGAAAAGCTACTACACTTGAAAATAGAAGGAAGATTTCTTAGAGAATTTGTTATACACACAGTATAATAGAAATTAAATAAAATTTAAAAAATTAAACATTATTGTAAAACCAATAATACGTCCTTCGCTCAGAATCTAAAATTCCGAAAATATTAAATGCCAGTAAATATCTCTCAAATAAATAGAATTTGTCCATTTTATTATATTTTTTTCCCCAGGTTTTCCGGATTATCATGAAAACTAGCTGAAAATCAAAAAATCATAATATTTTTAGTGCATCAACTAGATTTGAAATGCCACAAAAATCTCTCTTGTCGTTTTTTGGTTGGACGAAGATTTCCGGTAGAGAAATTGTTGCAGACACGTAAACATTTAAAAAAAAAAATCATAGTAGTTACATATGTTAATTATGCCAGTATATTTCTCGTTCCACTCAAAGTCTAAAATATACGAGACACAGATACATTTTTCCGATGGAATGAAAACCAATAATATCGTTTTATATTTATTTTCACTATCCTGTACAAAACATTGTATTCACACTATATAACTATAGACATTGACTATGACTGTTATGTATACATTCAAAAATAATGGAATTAAATTATATACAAAAAAAAAATACATAAAAAATAACGTCTTCAACGGAAATACGACTGTTGTACATGTTAAGTCGTTGCGAAAAATTCTCAAAAAAACAATATATATATATATATATGTATATACCATATATACCATATATACTCGTGTATATTAGTAATGACAAAAACACAATATAATCTCAAGACTTCTGCAGCTGATACAGAGAAATTGAGTCCGTAAAAGCTTAAAGACTTGGCGCGTACGCCACATTCGTGAAAAAAATAAATATGTTTTAGTCTCGTGTGAAATATTATTTTTTAAGTGATTACTATACCGACATTATATATTATTACAATATTTATATTTTTAGACATCTAACGATTCGTTGTAACAAAATGAAAATAAAATAAAAATCTTATTGTTTTTTTATTATTATTATATTTTTTTATTTTTTTGTATTATTAATTTTCAGTAAATTTCCCATTCCTTCGTTTAATGTGTGTAAAAATATCGATTTATTTGATTTTTAAATTTTTCATGAAATTACATTCAAAGGGTGTAACGTAATATATTACATAATATGCGAAAATATAATTTTGCACCAACGTTTTTCATTATAGTTATATAATAACTAGGTACTAGGTATTAATTCAATTTCACATCACAAGGAATAAAAAATGCTTACATACCCACACTTTATTCCACCGGTCGACATTTCAACAATATTGTTACAACTTATAGAACTTTTAAACTTTTAAATACACAAACTATATATTGTTACAATGTGTAATATTGTACACAATATTTCCAGAAAAATAATCAATTTAATTACCTGCACACAAGCGGTAAGAGTGAAATTTGAAATACATGCCAAAAAAATAATAGTAATAATAAAATTTATGATAATTTTCATGGAGATATAACTTATTTCTAAAAAAAAACGAAATTTATTTTAAACAATTCTGTACGTATTCGATCGTAACTCTAAATTTAGATGGTAGATAGTATTCGTTTTTTTTTTTTTTTTTTTTTTTTTTGTGGCGACAAACGTGATAGACTAACCGAACGAGTTTTAATTTAATTATTTTTTTATCAAAATTAAATTTACAAAATATAATAATAACGATTTCTTTGAATAACGTCGCAAAGAAAACTGATTTATTTTTTTTCATTCCTTTTATGTGCCATTTCTGTAGGTTTTCCGCACGATTATTTCATATAAGTCTTGTAGTGGTAGATTCGATTTTTTACATTTTTAGTTAGCAATTGCAATAATAAAATATCATTATTAACATCCCGTTAATTAAAACTATTAAAATTAATTAAACTCTTATTAATGTACATGCATCTAAAAAAATATAAACAATTCATATTATTAATACTCTAAAATTATAGTTATTTATGATTTTGATAAAACATTATCATCACTATTCATCATTATTTATTCTTTATGTTGTCTTCTAGAATATTGTAACTGTTAGAATTATTAGTTAATTTCGAATTAATAACAGAAGTTATTCAAAAACACGTACGATTTGTGAAGTCATCGAAATGTTTTTGCGGAAATTAAAAACCCCTTATAAACACAAACCATTATCTCGGAAACTGCACGTTTAAAAAATGGATTTTGCATTTTAATAACCCTTTTTTACCGACTTTTGTTATTATTTACATCCTTGACTTGAATTACATTAAAAGAGTATACTATATTTCTCTGAAGTACAGAAATTATATTATTATTATATGATAAGAAAATGTAGACAAATATTTTCTACATACTTTTTTACTATATTTACGAGTACGGTACATAATTTTTGATTTCATCTTCAAACGATCTGATACCGGATAAATACAATAATAAATAAGAAAACTCGACCGGTCGAGCTTGAGACTCGAAAACTCGTAGCTCAAGGTTTTTGCTAAATAAAAAAATTACTATAATTCATTAAAAATGTAAGTTATTAAAAATTTAACGAACAAAGAATAATTTTAATGAATCAAAATCGCGCACTTTTGCTTTAATCATAAGGAAATTAAAAATTGTTTTTTTTTTTTCTACAATGTCAAAAATGATATACACTATGCAGTACCTAATACCTATAATAAATTACCAGTTTACGTTATCGCAAAGCACGAATAGAAATTCTAGCGAAATAAGTTCCGTTGTTTATTCTCAAACGGAAGTTAATTACACTGCTTGACAATAAATTATTCGACAAACAAATATTGACCATTCAAATAGGTACCTAAATATTAAAAATGATTTATTTATAATTATATTAAACTATATACTTGATCTGTAAATGAATAATCTCCAGAAATGTTTTCGACGACTAGCTACTTTTGTAGTGCTTGAAAGGTGCATACACATAATACAACTAATTTATATTTTATAATTACAAAATAGAATCTATTTTTTTTTTTTTTTTTTAAATATTATCCTATTAATTTATTTGGGAGACGGAAATTGACTGTTACACGTCATGTATATCACGTATTGCGTATATAGTTATGTAGTTAGGATTGCAAAATTACTCTCCTCGCCATCGGACATATTTTTTTCTAGTTACGATACTGCAGATAATTTAAACAGTTTACTACAATAGCTATAATAAATACAAAATAAAAATAAAATATCTCTCGAACAAATTATATTGTAGCTCGAGATAGAATTAAAACGAAATACTTAAGCACTATATATTTGTTTTTGTTCAAAAATATACTTAACAGTGAAAACTCTCATGTGTGGAAATTACTTTCTGACTTCGATTATTATTTTTTTTTTCAGAGAAATAAAAATTTCTAACAGGCCATTAGATTTTGAAAATTACATTTCTATTTATTTCCACATTAAAGTTCGAGTATCACAAATGTTCGCCATATTTTAACCCGTTTTTTTGTGAGTTTTGGTTAGATAATCAAAAACCAAAGTCCAGTGTAGCGTAGAAAGTTCTCCTCTTTCCAAAAAAAAACTACCGTTATCGGATCAATTCTAAGCATGAGAGTTTTTCCTGTAAACCATTTTTTGAACAAAAGACGGGTGGTGTGCATGCCCTTTCATATTAAAATTAAAACTGATTAAAATTTCTGATTAAGACTTGTTAATTGTAAATGTTTTTTTTTTTTTTCATTTTTGATAAAGTATAATGTGTATCTGTGTACTGTGTACACGGTACACCCGAACATCAATTATTATAGACAGGTATTATTTTATATATTTTTTTAAGAGATTCAATCAAATAACTAGGTATAACAAATTATTGTAAATTTGTATTTTTATGATCAGAATATGTATGCATTTGAACATTTGAACAAAGTTAATCATTTCAGTTCCAAGTGCCGTTATAATGGTTATTACAATAAAGACAACTGTAGAAATGACAATTGTGCGTGTTACCTTGGGAGAATTGGTTTATTTTGTCGACAAATATGTATGTATGTATATAATAATAATAACTGTGGTTGTATTTATAAATAAACAATATTCTAAATAAATGACGTAAGAGGAAAATAAAAATAAAAAGATGAGCCGGAATTTTGTTTTCTTGTTATAAATATCAACCAAATAGCGGAAATCCCATATTTTTATTACACTGTTATTATTGTACTATGACGGTATTAAAAAGTGTGGTTATAGTCTTATCTCAGCGAATGGTATCGTGAGTAATATGCCATTATAATAATGCCAGTTGGGCGTTTAATGTTGAAGGTACTATAACTCATGTTTGGGTAGTTTAACAATTTTAAAAATTTGAAACTTCTCCTAATTTGAGAATGTTTCATAAAAAAACACATGAAATATTTTTTTTTTCCATCAAATCATAATTTGGGACTGAAAGGGTTAAAAAAAACTATAACTATTACGTTACTATTTATTATATGTATTTACTTTAAGTTTATAGTAACTTTAGAGAGTAACATTGTAACAATCAAACAATAAATACGTATAATATAATATTATTCCAAACATTTTTATTTTTTTTTTGGCCCTGGGAAAGGTTTGAACAAGACTACCCCTGTATGTAGGTCACCTGATGTACTAGTTAAAAAAAAAAATGTTTTTTATGTAACTGTTTTGCTCTGCTGTACAATTATTTTCAAAAATGGATTGCTATAGTATACTATTATTTTCTTCCCTTGGGCTTTTCAAATACTATGTTTACAGTACAACTAGTCAAATTTCGAACAAACTCAAAGCTTATACCTATTCTAGATTATTACGGTGTCCCAGCCGTTAAAATATAAAATACTCGACTACGTTAATTACAAGAATAATTTTTTATCATATGATCGGGTTTCGTCCGGCCTATTGATGCATCTAGGATTTTTACGCCCCGGGGCAAAAAACATTGTCTCCATTGTATATCCTTACTTCACATTTCCTTTATTTTCCTTACCCCAACCTTCCTACCTTTTTCCTCTGATATACTCCACCTTAACTAATTTAAATTGAACCACTTTTGTAATGTTGCTACCCTTTGCTGTATTTGCCTGTTTTGCTCTACCCTTATAAAAATAAAAAAATAGACCATTATGGCAACTATCTGACGATACATTGAGTGGTACGTGTAGGAAGAACGTGTCCTTAAATGCAATATTATTTTATATATATGTGAAAGAGGGTGAAGGAATTGTTCGTTTTATGTTTTTTTTTTTTTTAATAATAATTTACATTATAGTACGAAATAATGCGCCGCTGGACACATTATGGTAAATTTGCAGTAGACGCCAAAATAAACTCTCCGACGCTGAAATCGTATTACACGAAATTAGTATTAAACCTAAGTAAATACTGCGCAAAAGTTCGTGTAGGTTGCACATGTATACCACGTGCACAATAAACAAATTAAGT